ATCAAATCCAGTACCCTTCAGTCCACAGGCCAATGCTCTATCCACTGAGTCAAACTGGCTAGGGCTCAAATCATTTTTCAAAACAAAGTCAGGTCTGGGTCCTGTAGTGACCCTGCATGCAGAAGTTTGATGAAGTGTAAAACCCCTCAAATGCTAAGGTAGAAAATTTCACTGTTGCTGATATCAATTTAGTCCACCACTTCTCCTTTTTCGCCGTTTGTTTTTTAGTTTTTATTGAATTTATTGGGGCAACATTGATTAAAATTATATATAAGAAAAAGGTGAAGGGATTAAGCAAAACAAAACAAAGTTTAGCAATTCTTTAGGCTTTAAATTTCCCAATATAAGTATAATCCTTGCAATAATAGTTAACAAATACTGAAGAAAGGTGGTTGTGATCCAGTGGTCTGTTGGTAAATGTTTACCTACCAGCTATCCAGTTGTACTATTGGCTGACTTCCAACATTTGCCAATGTTGATGGCTTCAATACTCCAATCATGTCAAACTACCAACATGATACCCCTGAACTTAGAGTTGGGAATACATGCTCAGCAGCACACTATTGTACAGTATTCACACTATTTATATATATATAAAAAGTCAGCAACCGTGACGACCATAATGATCAACAACCGGTCCCTATCACACCCACTGTGGCCAGTGAACTGGCCTGGTCAGGGTGTGGGGCTGCCCGACCAAGCTCCCACAGCTCCTCTCCCCAGCCGCCTACCCTTGATTGGACTCTTCCACCCCAATCAAGGGTGGGGCCGGCTGGCCAAATATCCCCCAACCCCCCCTCACCCTTCCCCCCAGCCAGCCCTGCCCCTGATCAGCCGGCTCATCAGAGGACCCAGCTATGCTGTTGCCTGGACTCCTGATCCACACAAACTATAAGGTCATAAATGTACGTTTCTCTAAGGCATTAAGTTTGTGGGAATTTGTTATGCAGCAATCCTATATAATAAAAGGCTAATATGCAAATTGTTCCCTTGCCTGGGAGTTCAACTGGGAGTTTGACCAGGGGGCGGGGCCAGACCATGATAGCCTGCAACCCCTCCGCCTGTCCGGCCCCGCCCCTGATCACCCTCCCCCCCCCAATAGGGGGCAGGGCCAGCTGGCCAATCACCCATGGCCCCTCCCCCAGGCCACTAGCCACCAAGAGGCCCCCCTGACCCCAATCGGGGGCAGGGCCCGCCGGCCAATCGTTTACGGCCCCTTCCCCCAGCCAGCCTGGCCCTGATCGGGCCCTAATCAAGGCAGGCCGGCTGGCCAACCTCCTGCCATCACCTTCTCCCGACAGGCCCAGTCCCAATCTGCCCCAATTGGAGCCGGGCTGGCAGAACCCCACCCATGCATGAATTCGTGCACTGGACCTCTAGTCTATATATATATAAAGCCTGCGACCATACTGGCCATAATGATCATAACAACCGGTTGATATGATGCCCACTGTGGCCAGCAAACTGGCCCGATCAGGGGGTGGGGCCAGCTGGCCAACCTCTTGGCCTCTCCCCGCTGCCAGCCTGCCCCTGATCAGATTCTCCCACCCTGATCAAGAGCAGGGCTGGCCAGCCAAATGCCCCCTACCTTCCCTCCACTAGACCTGCCCCTGATCAGCCAGCCCCACCACAATAGGCCTGCAGCCACTCCCCCCAGTCGGTAACTTCTCTTATTTCTGCCACTATAAAATTATTTTTTATTTTTTATTTATTTATTTATTTATTTATTTATTTATTTATTGTTAATCTTCACCCAAGGGTATTTTCCCCATTGATTTTTTTTTAAGTTCTTTATTGTTTAAAGCAGCAGTTCTCAACCTGTGGGTCGCAACCCCTTTGGCAGTCGAACGACCCTTTCACAGGGGTCACCTAAGACCATCCTGCATATCAGATATTTACATTACAATTCATAACAGTAGCAACATTACAGTTCTGAAGTAGCAACGAAAATAATTTTATGGTTGGGTCACAACACAAGGAACTGTATTTAAAGGGCCAGAAGTTTGAGAATCACTGGACTAGAGGAAGCACTGTGGATGGTGAGAGGTCTAGAAATTGTTCATTGGCCACATCTCACCTATAAATCTGAATATTTTGTAATGGGATATGTAGCTGTCTTCATTTATTTTCTAGTCTGCCTGTGTAACTCAAAATTACAGAACTTGGACAGTGGGTGAATGTTAGTGTGAGTCACACTGAGGCTGGACATAAGGGTTTCATCTTAAAAGTTAGAACTGTGCAGCAAAGAAGTGGCCTGCGTCACAGTGGTGAGTGCTTCATCTCTAGACTTAGTTCAAGCAGGGCCTCTGTGCCAACCTGAGAAGTGTATTGTAGTGGGGATGCCTGATCTGAGGAGATGCACCTGTATGACCCACATACAGCCTTGCAATTCCATAAGTCAATGACTTAGCCTCATGGAATTGCAAGATTCCTGGGGAGACTTAGTTACAGCCACTTTGACTTAGAACTGGAATTCCAAGGTTCCTTCCAGTGAGGTGGAAAGTATGTTAAAATAATTTTCTGGGTTATGTCTACCCAGGAGTCCTGTTTGACACTGAGGATCCTTGTTACATCGAGATGACTGTATGGAACCAAAACATCTCTAGGTCATGTCCACACAAGATTCTAACAGCAACTCAGAGGCTGAGCCATTGGCCAAATACTCTCAAGCAGTGTAAAGTCAGACTAGGATGAAGATCATGGGTCCCTGTTTCCAGAATTAAGACCTGGGAGAGAAGTCATTAAGGAAGGGTGGCTGAATATTTTGTAAGGGGATATGTAGTTTTCTTCATTTGTTGGCAAATACATCCTCAGATTCCCTTTTCCAGTGCCCTTGGTGTCATTGAGACTAAGACAAGGACTTTCTTACACAATTTCCTGACTGCAAGTTCCACCAGCACATTATCTGAATCAGTGATCCTCAAATATTGATGCAGGTGAATCACCCAGGGGCCCTTCTAAAATGCAGACTCTAATTCAGTAGGTCTGGGGTGGGCCTGAGAGTCTGTGTGTCTAACAAGTTCTCAGGAAATGCCAGTGTTGTTCTAAGGATCACACTCTGAATAGCGAGAGACCACAGGCAAGTTTGTTGAGAATGTGTACCTGTAATATGCTGTTGTGATGAGTTGATTACTATGGACGCCCAAGGCAAGCTATACCTTCCCCCAGCTGACCAGTCAGATATTCCACTCGAGAGAGAACACTATGAAAAACAGGCAATAGGCTGCTGTAGGTGGTTGATTAATTTTAATTTTTTAAGAAGGGAATGTGTGCGGAGAGGAGAGTAGCAGGAGGGAGCCTCTCAGGGGGAAAATCTGAGTGGATTTGTGTGCTGATTATTTTAGGGGGAGAAGGGAAAGAAAGTGTTTGCATATAAGAAAGAGATAATTGCTTTCCATTTAGTTCTTCAGTTTTTTTTCACAAAGTTTGTAAGGAGGGTAAGTAATTAGTCCCTTGGGAGGTGGAGGAGAGAAAGTTCTCAGGATGAAAAACTGTTTTCCCTGCTGGCCTTTACTGCAGAATCAAAAGTACCTGCCCACTTTTGGAGAGGCCCACAAATAGGAACTTGTCCTGTGGTAGGTTTTTTGGGGGGGTTTTTTGGTTTTTGTTTGTTTTGTTTTGAAGGTATTTTTAATTGGAGATCAAGCTACCTGGTAATAAAAAGATACTCAGGCCTCTAGGTTGTGTACCCTGGGCCATTCTTCCCCTCCCATCACCTCCTTTATTCAAAGCCGTGGCTCTGTGGGGTGGCCCCATACTGTGATCTGTGGCCACCACACTGTATATTAGGACCAGGACCTCTCCTCTCAATACCCTGGGAACAGAACTAGCTTCAGAAGTAAGTGGAAGCTGGCATCTACTCTTTGTCTTGTTTTGCTAATCCCAGCTGTACAGGTTCAATGTGATATAAGAAATCATACACCAGACTTGTTCCTGCTCCCATTATCTTCCCATGACTTCCCAACCACACCCAGATTTTCCAGGAACGTCTTCCCTCATCCTTCCTCCACCCCATTACACACACCACCAATCGTGCTCATTTCCTCCTTCTCATCTGGCTTCTATGGTCTCTGCTTTACTACCCAGGGCCCCTAGTAATTTCCTGGCCAGTCTGCTTCCAAGAAACGTAACCTCAGAGGGCCTTCCTTGGGACATGGACCTAAGGACCTGTGGGAGAAGAAACTAGTTCATGTAAAGGAGAAGGCAGCCAGTCTGGGGCAATGATTCAGCTTCCCTTCTTTCTCAAGTACATGAGAAGGTGAAAGGCTAAGCCTTGGGACTTCAACTTTCTGTGTAAGGGGCCTTGGAAAGTGACCCTCAGAGAGTCACTTCTGTTTAAAGGCAAGACGTTTTGAGGGGCCGGGATGGGGAAGTGTGCAGGCAGCTTGGAAGTGAGTGATGCTTCAACCCCAGGTGCAATCCTAGAAAAGGGGATCCCAATGGAGGAACACAGTTTCTTCTGTTTGGGGGATACCAGCCCTCTCTACTTTTCTTAGAGAAACTCCCAGTTTCAGAAACCCATCCTAGACTCTGAAGTCGGTTCCTGAGAAAGAAACACACACACCCAAAAAAAAGTTGCACACAAAGAAATTTAAATGAATGTAAATAAACTATAGAGCTGGACTGGGGAAGAGAAATTTTTAATAGCACATTTTATAATAATAGCCACATTTACTAAGCTCTTACTATGACCAAACCCCGGACTAAGAGCTTTATTTGGATTATCTCTTTTAGTTGACATTATTGCAGTGTTTTCACTCCACAGCTCCCTCAAATTCATCCATTCCTTAACCATCTCAGGCTCACAGACCCTTGTCTTTGAGACATTCAAATGATGCGAGCTCATTCACTCTCTTTAGTGAGTGAGCAGAGACTTCGGGGGTGGGGGACAGGAGAGACTAAGAAAAAGGAGGTCAAGAAGCTCCAGCCCAGGCACTTAGATGTCCACTTACAGTGGAAGGTCCTTATACCTATGACTGAACAGGTGCCTTCTGGTCTTCTTATCTGTGGGCTGCTGGGTCTCTGAAGAGGATCCTTTTGGTCATATCTTCAATGACCTCCTTGACCTTCTCATTTCGGAAAGTGAAGATGAAGGGATTGAGGAAAGGAGTCACCACTGCAGTCATCAGGGCCACCACCTTGTTGAGGTGTGTGGAGTGGCCCTTGCCTGGTCTCACATAGATAAAGATGGCACTGCCATAGCCCAGAACCACCACAGTGAGGTGGGAGGCACAGGTGGAGAAGGCCTTCTGGCGCCCAGAGGACGAGGGAATGTGCAGCACTGCAGCCACAATGAGGACATAGGAGACCACGATAAGCAGCATGGTGGCCAGCACAAAGATCAAGGACAGAAAGAAGTCCATGAACTCGATGTGGCGAGTGTCAGAGCAGGACAGCTTGAGAAGTGGGGCAGAGTCACAGAAGTAGTGGTCGATGACATTAGGGCCGCAGAACCAGAGCCGTGTTTTCTGCAGGGTGGGGGAGACGATGGAGAGGAACCCAACCACCCAACAGAGCACCACCAGCTTCACACAGACTGAACTGTTCATGATGGTTGGGTAGTGCAGAGGGCGGCAGATGGCCACGTAACGATCAAAGGCCATGACTGTGAGGATCAGGAAGTTGGTGGAGCCCAAGGAGAAGTAAAAGAAAGACTGGGTCAGGCATTCGGCCAGGGACATGGTCTTATGAGTGGACAGCAGGTCTGCCAGCATCCTAGGAACCACAGTAGAGGTGACCAGCACCTCCATGAAGGAGAAGTTGCAGAGGAAGAAGTACATGGGTGAGTGGAGGCGGGAGTCAAGGCATGTGAGGATGATAATGGTCAGGTTCCCCAGTAATGTCAGCACGTATATCAATAGGATGAAAGCAAACAAGAGGATCTGGAATTCATGGAGATGAGAAAATCCCAGGAGTACAAATTCTCTGACAGCGCTGAAGTTACTCATTGCACTTGATACCAGTTCTCTATACCACCTGTGAAAAGCCAGGAAATCTTAGTGGGAAATTGCCATCAGCCTCTCTCTTGACCTTGCTCCCTGATGGCTGCCCCAGCTCCCCAAGAATGCTAGCCTATAAACATGGTTAATCTCAGTGTCCAGAAGACATTCCCAAAGGGCAGAAGTTCCCAAAGGGCAAGGACAATAGTGGTGTCTAATTTCTTATACCTGTTTCTGATAAGCAGGTCTAGGAGTTAGCACCTCCACATTAGCACCATTCCTAAACTTTCCTCTATTATATTCTATCATTCATTATTTCATGCAATACATTTGTTAAGTTCCAACTCTATGTAGGACATTTGGTGGTTCTGATAAACTCTTCCTAACTTCTATATTTAATAATATTTTAATCATAATAATACCTGTTAATAACTGAGTTTTTTCCATGTGCCAGAACTGTGCTAAGTAACTTATACATTACTTCTTTTCTGTGCTCAATCCTCATCCTCTTTGACTTCTCGTGACATTTCAGGCTATGAATAACCTATTTTTGAAACTGTTTCCACCCCTTACTATAAGGACAGTCCACTCTAAGTTCTCCAACAATTCTGACTTGTCCCTGTTTGGTTCTTTGTCTTTCTAAGTATGGATGTCCCCATATCTTTCTTCTCATTCTTCTTTTATCTCTCTATTCTTTTCTTCTGAAATCTCACCATCTCCCTTAACCAAAGCAAGCTTGAAAATGTAAATTATCTGAAATATGCATGCTTGTTCTCAGCCCATGTCTCTAACTGCCTGGTGACCTCTACACGTGTAAAAATACACACATAATCCTCCCTTACCCCAAGTCAATATCACTTTTCTGGCTCCCCAAACCCCAAGTCATCCAGGTTTGAAACCTGGAGGATATTCTGATTTTCCCCATCTCTCTTCTAAATTACTTGAATTGCCATTCTTAGAAATATTTTTTTATCCAGTCCCCCTTTCTTTTACTATAGCCCAAGTTCAAGGATTTGTTTCCTTTAATCTTTGCAACATTCTTATTGGCTATCCTATTGATCAATTTCACCATGTCCAACCTACACATATACTGCTGTTATATTTACAGTATTTTTGTAAAGTATTATGTCCATAGGCTGTTTTTTAATAGTCTGAGGCAATGTGATTTTATGTATACATTACTCTTAAAATCAACTAATCAAACTAGCTAGCCATTTACCTTCATACAGAAAAAGACTAGAAAAACACATTTTAAAATGGCTATCCCAGGTGTGGATTATAAGTATTTAAATGTACATCTATAGCTACAGTATCTATCTTGTTTGTTTGCCAAATTCTTTTCATTTGAATATATATTATTTCAGTGATCAAAAAATATTTTTTTAAACAACAACCACATCTATTCCTTCCCATGTCTGCTAAATCAAGCACAAAGTTCCCCTGGCAACCCCAGCTTCCTCAGCTCTGCCCACCTACCTCTCCAGCTTTTCCCTTACTTCCTTCTTGCCACATACTTTGTGCTACCCCCAACTTGGACCACTTACTATTCTCCAAATGTTAATTCCACCCTGCTTTCATGCCCTTTTCCTAACTGTTCTCTATGCTTGGAATACCCTGTCTTGCCATTTTTGCCTGGTGATTTCTTTTTTTGTTTGTTTGTTTGTTTTGTTTTTTAAATATATTTTATTGATTTTTTTTTTTTTACAGAGAGGAAGGGAGAGGGATAGAGAGTTAGAAACATCGATGAGAGAGAAACATCCATCAGCTGCTCCTGCACACCCGCTGCTGCGGATGTGCCCACAACCAAGGTCCATGCCCTTGACCAGAATCGAACCTGGGACCCTTCAGTCCGCAGCCGATGCTTTATCCACTGAGCCAAACCGGTTAGGGCTCCCTGGTGAATTCTTACCCACCCTTCAGGGACTATCTCAAATGCGTCTTTTATAAAGCTTCATCCTTTATTCAGATGTAAATTGGGGAAGTTAGCATGTCTGCCTTGTATTATAATTATTCTTGTCCCAGCCTTTTCCCAAAGGCTAGATTCCTTGTTTGTCAGTGGCAGGGCTCTCTTTTCATCCTTATAGCCCTCACAATACTGAGCAATGTGTCCTACAGCGTTAGGATTTAATAAATTTCAGTGAAACAAATCAATGAGTACATTTATTGGGTTTTCATTCCTAGTCCTGTGAAGAAAAGTATTTCCAAATGGAAACTCATGTTTTCTTTCATGATTATTTGTATGTGTGCACTGTGGGCTTTCCCAGAAAACAATGGGGCACTCATGGCCTGACAACTTCTTTTCAGAAAGGTAAGATGAGACCAGGGGTGTTTCAGAATCTAATCCCAGAAGGGTCAGGACAGAACCCTGTAATCAAATAGAATACTATTTCTGCAGCAACATACATGAATACTCACACTAAATTAAATAAAGGCTATAAAATAAGCTCAGATCAGGTTTAGCTGCCTAGTTAGTCTGACACAAAATCAGAAAAGAAAACTCAGTTATAAAGGAGCTTGATTACAGAACTGTGGCTAAGGGGCAGTGAGTGGGTCCACCTCACTCACTGAGTGCCCACCACGCACTGATTCCTACACCCCAACAAGGCTGTGATAGTCAGCATCTACATATCACAGGTTAAAAACTGAGGCTTAGGATGTTTAAAGATCTCAGCCCTGTGTAATATAGATAATAACTATACAGCTGGGATTTGAACCCAGGTTTTCTAAATGCAACACCTATTTGTTTACAGCAATCAAATGCCAAATGTGTGGCATCTTCTATATTTTCAAACACTGTGCCGTATCAATCTCTGGACACCGGACTCAAAGCCGACCGCACAGGACTGCAAATAGAGAAAGGATTTAGTAAGTGGTAAGTTAAGGAATGTATGAAAGAGGAAATTCCCATGATTAGCTATTGTCCATCAATAAGGAGTATGTCCTTTCCTGGCAGAAACAATCTAACCTGGGCCCCGAATGTGCCTGCAGTTAGAGGCCCAGCCCCCAGTGCCCCATCTCTCCCAAGGAATCTAAGATACCAGGCCCGGAAGACTGATGCTTCTCCACTCCCTGCCTGTGATCTCAGCCTCCTACTGATGTGCATCACATTCTGCGGGTGTTATAAATCTTTGAGCAAGAATGAGGAATTCAACCCATGGGCCTCTTTTGTTTTATTCAGGATCACTGCCACCCAGAGAGCATCTTTCTTACCCTACAGGTTTCCACGACATCACATCCAGAGGTTCTGCGATCTACATCATTTGGAGTCCTGGAATCAGACATGAGAGTGCTAATTCAGGGACGACCTTGAAGTCAGGAGTATTCCGTTCAGTGCAGCAGGCTTTGCTCCACCCCATGCTAGACTAGCTAACATCCTTTCCAAGCCGGCCCCCACCACAACCCCCACTCTCACACCCTCAACCCAGCCCCGCTTGGCTTCCTCCTACCAACCTCTCTCCAGTCTGCTGTACTTTTCACCCTCAGACTTTTCTCTTTCTGATGAAGATCTTGCCTCCCCTCTCAGCGTTGGTGACTAGTGCTCCCTCTTTGTCCATAAAGCATGCCTATCCCTTCATGTTGCTTCAAGACCCTGAGCCACTGCTCCCCGAACTCCAACTCAGCGATCTGGAGCCCACAGCTCAGGACAGACTACCTGGAGCAGGTTTTAGGACCTGCTTTACTTGTTGAATAAATTTGCACCCGAAGATTTTATTTTACAAAACTGATTGGTGAATACACGCAAAATTAATATCAATAAAGTTTAACTTCAATGCAGAAAAGACTTTCTTCTGTATCAGGGTCTTCTACAGATGAGATTTGCTCAGTGCAGCCTCTGTGGTCACCCCTGGTATAGAACATGAAGCAAACTCAACTTCTCCAATCAGAGACGATGCAGTGCCCCATGAAATAGGCCCAGCGCGGCCTTACCTATCACAAGGCAGACTGGCCAGGGCTCTGGCTGGCCATTTAGTGCATGTTTTGGACTGGGTCACACATTATGTGCACCTGACAGTCTAGGCTCCTCTGTGTGTCCTCAGCTTCCCTCCCTCACTCCTAGTAAAGGTCCTTACTGGTAAGAGATCCTGCCCATCTCTATCCAAATCCTTCATGCTGCACACCTGGCAGGTCAGATCTCTGTTAAAATGTCAAGTAGCAGATGTAATCTTCTTCTCTCTGCGTGTTAATAATCCTCGAGAGACCTAGAACCCAGTTAAAAGCTTCCTGCTTGTTATGCATCTTTTTCTCTCCACATCAACCCTCTCAAGTCTCCCGGCTGAATTATTCCCATGCTTTTTGACTTTTGATTCAAATTTCCCACCCTGGAAAATGACTTCTTTTTTTAATAATTGAGAATGCAGAGAGGGTAGCAGTCCCATCACCATGGTTGCTTGTAGTAGTGATTTTGATCATCAGTGTCCTGGGACATGCCGAGCTTCTCAAGTGAAGGAAAGGGTGGGTAGGAAATGGGACAAAGTGAACAGAAAAAAACACCTGAATATCCCCTTACAGTTCACAGGCGTTTGCAGGGAGCAGGTGAAAGGCAAAGGACATAGATAAACAGCACATTAGGATGAGCAAACAAGCTGGCAGCAAAATAAGAGACAAAGAATGATACTACGTGGCCAAGGGTCTATGAAGGCTCAAGAAGAGGTCAGAGACACATCAGGAAGGAACAAGGGGCTAGCGTTCCCTGAGCTCAGGCCTCTGAGGAAGGAGCAGAAAGGGTGGGGTTGGACAGAAGACCCCTAACTTGTTCCCAAAGGGAAGGCAAGATGAGACTAATGCAGGGAGTAGAGTCCTGTTATGATGAAATCTATCGTTACACTCACAATAGTGAGCACTAGCACAGTGAGCAAGAGAACACAGGCAACTGAATCACTCATTCATTTGTTCATTCATTCATTCAGAAAAATATGATTGACTGTGCCAAATACTCTTGGTGTTCAAGGAACAGAGTGGTGAACAAACTAGTCCCAGGCCATACAGCCAAGCTGGGAAAACAAACAGAA